TTCTAAAGAGACTACAAACAGACAGCAAACTTCTGCTTCCTTGCTGGGACCACACTTGAAAAGCTGTTGGCTTTTTTTTTTTTTTTTTTTTCTTTAATGTACTGATTTCAGAAAAAGGGACTGGCAAAAGGAAGGGGAATCCCCTGGCAGAGGGCCCATCCACAGAGCTCCCCTTTGTGGTTACTATGGAAACAGGCATAATAGGAACAAAACATAAGCATGTTGCTTGGCAACCTAGGAGCCTAAGGTTCATCACACACACATACTCATAACTCCTTCATTTCAGGGAACCCCCCCAGGGTAGGAGCGTCATTGCTGGAAGCTGGGTTATCCCAATGACGAGTCCTAGAGCTAATGTGGCTTTGCCTGACGAGTCTGAGGACTGAGGTGTGTGGCACCTCTGAAGGGTGATGCCGTGCCAGCCTTAACAGCTGATCTGAACCCAGGCTGGTCTGAAACCTAATGAAAACACGGGTTTCCTTTACAGTGTTAGAACAGGGGAAGTCTTAAAGTGAGTGAGTGAGTGTGTGTGTGTGTGTGTGAGAGAGAGAGAGAGAGAGAGGGAGAGAGAGAGAGAGAGAGGTGGGGAGGAAGGGAGGGAAGGAGGGAGGGAAAGAGAAAGGACAAGAACACCTGGTGTTGGGTTTTGGGATAGGAGAACAAATGATAGAAAATTCAGCTTTCAGTTTTCTGAAAACACAACTGGCAAGGAGTTGAAGACAAAGGTAAGGGGTTGTGAGCCACTCCTGGACTATGTGGCTGGAGGGTAGGGATTCCATCCTGCTGAGTTCCCTGTTGCCTACTTCACTGACACAAATCCTCGGCCCAGTGTTGGGTGGACAAAAATGTTTGTGCAGCTGCTGCAAAGATCTACAAGTAGGGGAATTGTTCTGTGGGGGCTGACAGTCTGGAAAAGATGTGATAGGCAAGACACTTGTGCAAAGAATAAGGATTTCGGAGCTAAGTATCTGGAGAGCACTCATTAATGTGCACTGAGGGCTGGGGATATACCTTAGTGTTGGCCTAGCATTGATGAGACCCTGGGTTTGATCACTAGTATCACAGTAACTAACTGTTTCTGAATGATTACTGTATGTCTGCCAGTTTCCCCCCCACACCCCATACAGAGCACAGGAAGAGGGAAAATCCCTGTCTTTTGAGAAAATGTGAGTGGGAACTTTAATTTGTCCTTTGCCAGCTGTGAGACTTAAAGTAAATTAGTAACCTCTCTGAGACCATTTCCTTATCAAGTACCTGCCTCTCAGGGCATGAGAGGATGAAGTGACTGATGTGAAAAAGAGTCATGTACAATGGCTGTTATGGTGGGCTGGGGGGGGACAGGACTTCCACTGAAAACTTGTGTGTGTGACTCTTGGAGACAGTGCCCCACTCTGTAACCCAGGCTGGCTTGGTACATAGTCCACACTGGCCTGGAGCACTTTGGTTGTCCTGCCTCAGCTTCCTGAGCGTTCAGATTACAGCAATGGAACTGCATTACACCTGTCGGAAAACTCGAAAGCCCCCTCCTCTGGTTAACTAGAAATCCCAGGTCTGGTTCCAGTTGCACAATCCTGATCTTTAAGGAGCTGGGTTGACATTATACTATTTTGGTTCTTTTAGCCTGGAATGGGACAGAAGCCAGTTCACAGAACTCAGCCCTAACCAAGTAATCTTGGCATGTTTAACCCTGAATGAAGTGTCTGGACAGTGATCCCTGCTCTGCTCACTGCTCCAAAAGCCAGCCTTGCCCTCCTGCCTTCTTCCCTGTTGACCAAAAGGGTGGCCAGAACAAACAGTGGGGCAGTATAATTGGCTCAGAGCCCAGGAAGCGCTCCCTCCTGAGAGGCTCATGCAGTGTGCAACGGAGTCGGAGATGCTCACATCCCTTCTCTTCCATCTCTCCTGTGTCAGCCTCCTTCCTCCAAACCCCTGCCCCAGAGTCACCCTATCTGGAGTACTACTGCAGATACCCCGTGTTTTAGGGCTTATATCACATCATAGCCACTTTCTGAAAGCCCCGGGATAAAGAAGTCAATTCCCTTTTGAACATGCATCAAAAAAAAAAAAAAAAAAACAACCCTTTCAGGGAATCAAATGAAAATTTATGTCCAAGTTAAAAATCTGTTGCTAAATGATAAATGATTAACTGTTTACTTTTGGAGAAAGTGTCTGGATAGAGAAAAAGGGAGAAATTTCTTTTAGTTTTTTTTGAGACAATGTATTATGCAGCCCAGGCTGACTTTGAACCCTGTATGTAGCCAAGGTCACATAGGACCTGAACTCCCAGTCTTGGAGTGTACCACCACACAAGGCAGAAGTTCATTGTTCTGTCTGTCTATATTGCTTACATTTCAAGGACTGGGATGCAACTCAGTTGTAGTGTTCATTTTATCATGTAAGAGGCCTTGGGTTTGAGTCCTAGCTTGCACATGAGTGTGTATGCATGCACACACACACACACACACCAAGCCAATAAAGATGTAATTAATAGCTCTCATTATCATGAAGGCATTGATTTATTTATTGTTTTTCTGTGACAGCTGTGTAACAGCCTTGGCTGTCCTGGAACTCACTCTGTAGACCAGGCTGGCCTTGTACTTACAGAGATCCTCCTGCCTCTGCCTCCCGAGTGCTGGGATTAAAGATGTGAGCCACCACTGTCTGGTGGCATTGCTTTTTAAAAAATGTCAACATGGATTACCTGATTTAGGAGTACTTTGCAGAGTATCTTATTCTTGGTCTATGTTTAAGAGATGAAATAAATGCTATTTATATATATAGATAGGGCCTCACTATTTAGCCCAGGTTGGCCTCAAACTCACAGAGATTGCCAATCATTGCCTCTTGAGTGCTGGGATTAGAGGTGTGCACCACCATACGTGACTTACTAACTATGAATATGAGTTTAAAATGAATGAAATAAAATGACTTGATGTGGTGAACATTTGAGAGGCTGAGGCAGAATTGCTGTACACACGAGGACAACCAAACCTATATTGTGAATCCCAGGCCAGCCTAGATTATAAGACCCTGTGTCAATAAATCACAATTGAGGGCTAGCCTAGGAGATGACTCAACCTGTTAAGTCATTTGCCACCAAGCCTGATAACCTGTTTGATTCCAGGACCCAAGTGGTTGAAGGAGAGAACTCCCACAAGTTGCCCTCTGACCTCCACATGTTAATACACACTAAATAAATAAAGTAAAGAATGACTGGCTCTTGAGTTTTGTTTTTTGAGTTGTGTTTGACCTGATCGTTACTGTGGACTGTGTATCTCTTCATGGCTTGGAACTCGCGTTGTAGCTCCTAATGAGTGCTTAGTAAGGAGGTTGGTTTTTTTTTTTTTTTTTTTTTTTTTTGGAAAGGTAGAGCTTATGACAGAGTATGCTAGTGATGATTGGTGGGATTGAGTCACTATATGAGAGAGAGAGAGAGAGGGAGGGAGGGAGGGAAGGAGGGAGAGAGAGAGAGAGGGAGGGAGGGAAGGAGGGAGAGAGAGAGAGAGAGAGAGAGGGAGAGAGAGAGAGGGAGAGAGAGAGAGGTGAGTGGCCAATTCTCTGCTTTGCCTCTGTCTTTGCATGTCTATGCCTGTCTGAATTTCTAACTACATTTCTCCACCTTGGCGTGTCCATTATATATGTGTCTGTTGTCTATCACGCCCTCTGTTTCCCTCCCCCCACTGCCTGTACCCTGTGTGGTAACTGGACCTGGACACAGCCCCCAGGGCTGGCAGGAGACTTGGCTGATATTTTTAGCCTGTAAACATGTTTGCCATTTCAGAGGACAGGGCAGGGCTGGTCTCAGCACCAGCCCACTCATGATCTCGGAGCGAAGGCGCTCCTACCTCAGGCCAAGGACTCAGTTCTCCAGCCTGAGGTCTTTTGGGGCATTTGGAAAGGAAGGGAAACTGGAGTGGGCAGTTGGGTAGCCACTTGCCAGGGAGGGTAGAACTCATGGGGAAGAAGAAAAGGGAGGTGTGTGGGGAGGATGTAGCCAGAAGGTCTCCGCAACCCCATCATTAAGCATTTAATAAAATCCACATCTAGTTAGAAGTTGCTGTGGGAAATGGCTGTAAATTGGGGAGCTGAAGAACTTGCAAACGGGGAATATGGGGGAGGGGCACAGGGGCAGGAGAAAGATTGGGGAAGCAAAGACAAAGCTAGACCTTGGGTTCCTCAAGGTTAGTGGGGCATGGTGGCTCATCCCAGAGAGACAGAGGCAGGCGAATCTGTGAGGCTACCCGGGTCTAGCCAGTTCCACGACAGCCAGGGAGGGCTACAGAGACTGCTGCCCTCCAAACAGCACAACAAAAACCCCAAACGGCATGGGGACAGTGTCTACAGAAGAGGGTGAGCACCCTCTTGGCTTGTCCAAGGACTGCAGGCCTGACTCTAGTGTCACTGCAGTTGCTGAACCACACCGTGGTGTGGTGCAGAGGTGATCCCATTCCTAGGGTTGGGGTCTGAGTCTTAGAGTCAGCTTGTGTTGTAGAAGGAGCTGAGAGCCTCGACAAAGTCTGAAGGCGAGAAATGGGCGAGGCTGCAAAAAGCTTGGGAACTAAGGCAGGAGGCTGGGGCCTGGGACTAAAGTGTCTAAGCTTGGGAGAAAGCTCAAAGGTCTGTGTTGAGGCTGGAGGTCGAGGCTGAATCATCTGCTTGGCTCTTCCTGCAGAATGGGTTGACACTGGGCTCCAACTAAGAGGGTGAGCTCCTGCTCCTTGGTGCTTCCAGGAATTTCTTGCCGGTGGGGAGACACACGCTGTTGAAAACTGGGGTGGGAAAATCCATACACAGGACAGGAGTAATAGACGGGATAGGAGGAGGGAAAGGGCGACGTCTCCTTGTCCCTGAGCCCCTCGCCAGTATCCCCTCACCGGCCCACTCTCGGGCGGCTTCAGCGTTGGTCTCGCTCTCGGGTCCCAGCCCTGCTCGGGCCCCGCCCGGCCCCGCCCTCTCCCCACTGCTCCGGGCAGACCCGCCCGAGTTACAAGAGCCGCCTCCGCGCACGGGGGCCCGGCCACTTGGAGCAGCTCTGCCGCGGGGACTGCACTGTCCGCCCTGCCAGACCCGCCCCGACTAGGGCTCGCCGTCGCCAGCAGTCTTTGCACTGCGACCTCGGGCCCTTCGCTGGCTATGGCTGCGTCCTGGGACTGAGCCCGCAGGTAGGGAAGCGAAGCGCCGGGTGGTGCGGTCTGGGGCTAGGGCCAGGGGAGGGAGGGACTCGGGCGAGGTGCGTTTGCTGTACTGTCACTGCGAGGTTCCAAAAGTTCAGCGCAAACCCGGCGGTCTGTGGCTGCCGAGACAGGCGACACGTCGTGCTTTGGGAGTGGAGCTTTCTCTCCGGATTGGGACACAAGTTGGGCTAAGTAAGAAAATCGCTTGGATATGAGTTTTGCTGCACTTTATGTTTCTCCGCTGGCGGACTCTCGTCCCAACTGCATTGCAGGGCGCTGCGTTCCTGGCCTGGTGGCTCCTGTCCCACCCCTTCACTTTGGGGCGGTGGCTCAGAGAGCTGGTGGGTTCCTATTCCATGTTTACTGTAGAAGTTTTCCGAGATCCCCGTCGTAGTTCTCCCGCCCCTCCGGCGCCCCTATAACGCATGCCCCCTCTGCTGTCCTTTGCGACTCTCCACACCTCTGCCCCGAACTTCGCGTCCGGAGTCCCCTCAGCCCCACCCTGCTCTGTACCACTAGCCTCTCCGTTTCTGGCTCCTAGCGGCGCCTTCAGCAGCTCCCCTTCAGCTGCCCCGCCCTAGTCTATTCCCTCCGTGTTCCCAGATCCAGAAGACTCCCTTCTTCCTCCCGGGCGTCTGAGCCTGGAAGTTCGCAGCGCGCCTCCCTGCGGGATGGGTGGGAGTGGGGGTGGGGGACATAATTAGGGAGATTCCTGCGCTGGGGTGGGCGGGGAGGGGGGCTGTGCAAGCGACTGTGTCCCCAGAACCTCCCTAGCTCCTTCTGGAGGCGGTACTTTCTCCCTACCCCACCCCACTCCCAAACTCGTCCGGGCGGGATGGCCCCCGCCCCAGCGCCTGGCTGGACGCCAGCAGCCTGAGGAATGTAGTGGTTGGAGTCGGTGACTAATTCAAACCAGAATTCGGGGTGGAGGGGAGTGGTGAGGGGCAAAGGGGAGGGGGAAAGGGGCAGTGAGTAAATGGTGGGGGCCTGATCACTGGGCGTAGGTGACGGACTTCACTGCTCTCTCTGGAACCCTCCACTTTTGCTGTGTGAGCCAGCGGCGGGGGAGGGGGGTAAGAGGGGGGCGAGATCCTGCTGTGGAGTTGGAAAGGCAGCTTGCTTAGGGTGTGTGCAGAGAGCTGTGTTATGTAAGGCTTTCCCATGTAGGGAGGGGATGTGCAGCGTTCAAGGGCCCGGCCTCCTCTGGCCGGGAGCCCCTTGCAGTGTCAGGGAGGGTTTGGGGAGATGCAGAGCCTTGGTGGTGCTGGGTTGACAGCAGGGCTAGCTGTCTTCGCAGTGAGCATTGGAAGGCTCTTAGGGGGACTCGGGGATATCCCACAACTCAAACTGAGCCCTGACTTAGAGTGTTATACCGTGTGTGTGTGTGTGTGTGTGTGTGTGTGTGTGTGTGTGTGTGTGTGTGTATTGAGTGCATGCTTGCTTGCCTGAGCACTCTGTCACTCCTGGGCAATGTGAGCACAGAAGATTGTGTGAATTGTGCCTGCCTTGGCACCCTGGTTTGGCAGGGTGTGGTCCTATGCTGTTTCTGAGGCCACGAGGTGTTGGCTGGGTGCTTGTATTCTCAGTATCCCTTCCTGTTCTGGGAAGGGGGTTTGTAGAAAGGCTTCCTGGGGTACTTGGAGAGTGACCTGGAATTCCCAGGAGGTCTACTTCTGTCCCCAGTCTGGACTCTGGATAAATGGTTTTGAAACAGTGTCCCATTAAAATTTAACCTCAGTGGCAGGAACCACCTCTGCGGCACCCCTTTTCCAGTAGCTGCCTAACCTGTGATAGGTGTTGAGTTCAAAGGATCCAGTGATTCAGCTGGGTGCTGAATCTCTCTCTCTAGAGAGAGAGGGTCTCTAACCATATTGAGAGTAGTCTAGGTGAATACAACTGCTTTGGTTGTTGTGTTCCATGAGGGAAATCCCTTGGGTAGGTAGGGTGTGCCTCTTTTCCCTTTCCCAAGCTGAATGAACCATTAGCTTCCTTCTCTCACCTTGAAAAACTACAGGGCTAGGTCTGCATCTGGGCTAGAGAGTGTGCTGATTGCAAGGTAAAAGGGAACCCCTGGTTTTAGGGCATATTCTTGCTCTGAGCTGAGATAAGGGGTAAGGGAAAGAACTGGGAGCATAGGGCTGAGCTGGAAAGGACTTGGCCCTGGGTGCTGATAGGGATGGCATCTGGAAGATGTCTGAACCTCTTTCTAAAGCTCTTGTCCCTAAGAGGTTATGCAAAAGGACCTTGCTAAGAGAACCAGGACATTCAGGGAGACTCGTGAGTCTTTCAAAGCTTCCTGCTGATAATATGGAGGTCAGTAGCAATGCAGAGGGTCTTAGCCCAGCTCCCCACAGACATAGTTCAAGGGTGAGGATCCAGGTCCAGGAAAGGACATGAGAGAGAGTGAACCAAGAAGTTCTGTGGAAGAAGAGTAGTGTTAGTCAAGGGCAGGGAATGAGCTATGGGGTCCCGGGGCACTGCTTAGAGGTTCAGAGCCACGCCTGGCCCTTCTGCTCCACTTGGAACTGCCTATCGGGTTCTGGCACAGCACACCACTCTGAGCCTGGGGAGCTGGTTTGAGAGGTTGGGGCAAAGCTGTGGGGGTGGAGGAGTGTGTGGGGCACTGGGGTGTGGTCACTACCCTTTTCAGAACTTGGGAACTGCCTGGAGACAGACAAGAGGCAGACTGGGAAATCTAGTCTGACTTCTGGAGGGATCTTTGCCTGGACGTCCCTAAGTTGGGGCTGGGCTGACCACGTGCTGAGATTCATATAGGTTAAAGGAAGGGAGGTGTCTATCAATTTAGAATGTGTGTTACATTTGGGCTGCAGCAGTGGTGAGTGTCTAGGGCTTTCTGCTCTTTTTGCCCCTTCAGATTTCAACCAGGCTTTTAGGAGCTTGCAATTCCCTGAATTTGACCATGGGCTGCTTTCCAAGGTCTTCTTGATGATAGCAATGATAGACAGCATCACCCATACCTGAGTTTGTCCAAGAAGTGTCAGCATGGTGTGTGTGTGTGACACAGACTGTTTCTGCAGAAATGTCTGTGTGCTTTGATGAAGCTCCCCTTTCTCTGAGCCCCAGTTCCCACTGGGGCTAAGGCTCAAATAATTGGTCTTGTGTTTGCCACTGTTTGCATTACAACCGGGGCTGTTCCACTGTGGTCCTGATCCTCTGTGTCTTTGAGTAAAGATTGTGTTATTACCTGTGAGAGGATGTCCTGTTGGCTGTTCCAGGGGCACTCATACTGTGCTAGGGCTAGATTGTGTCACCTCTGTTGGCCTCCTGGGACTTGGAGGGCAGAGGCAATTACTGACTGCTCTAGGGTGGAAGCTCCATGTCAGTGTACAGAGACTGCATTTAAGCAATGAAATAAGCTCCTTTGTCCCATATGGGTCCAGGGCTTGAAGTTTGTGTCCAGAGGCCTTCAAGAAGGATAGGGCTGCCTTGGGTGTATAGTCTCCACAGATGGAGGTTGAGCAGCAAAGCATTGCACACAGCCTGTCCGGGAGCGGCATCCTGCCTGGTCCCTGGGGGCTGGAGCGGAGGTTCTGGGGGAAGGGGAAATGCCTGGAGCTGATCCTGGCTACGTGTCCTGGCTAGGGTCTGTGTGTGTGTGTGTGTGTGTGTGTGTGTGTGTGTGTGTGTGTGACCACGGCCTTTTGAAGACCTGGCCCTGAGTCTTTTCACTACATGGCCTGGCCACTGGGGGGCGAGCATGCAGCACCTACCAGGGAACTGGGTGGGGCCCAGGGCATATTCTAAACTGTAACCTACCCCCCCACCCCCAGGCAACTCAGATACTTCTCCCCTTGGCTCTTCAACCATAGGATAGGACACTGCCCCATTAGTGTCTTAATCCCAGCTGTCCTGTCTGAAGCCAAACCTTCTTTGATGTTGTAGCCAGATAAGGAACTTCCCACTGGATAATATAATGCTGTCCTCAGGGTGTCACTAGGAGAGGTGGAGAGTCCCTCCTGGTCTCCTGGATAGGGGAAGGAGAGGGACTCTCCCTGCAGGAAATGAGAATTTAGAGCTTCAGGCTTTAGCCCTGTGGCTTGTTCTAAGAGTTGGTGGGGCGAATTATGTGACCAGAGTGCAGAGAAGTGGAGTTGGAGATCAAGAAGCCATCATGGGGCGGGGCGTGGGGGTGCACACGCCTTTACTCTCAGCACTAGGGAGGCCGAAGCAAGCTGTTCTCTGTGAGTTCAAGGTCTACACAGAGAAACCCCGTGTGGAAAAACAAACAAACAAATGGGAAACTAGCAGCCATTATGGGGCTGGTTAAGGCTGCTTTAGAAGTCCATGAGCAAAACCCCAGCATGATGAGGAGGAGGCGGGGGTGAGTAGGCTAGTAAAACTTCCTTCTGATAGGAGCTGCAGGCTGGGTCGGCACCATTTTCTTTCTTCTGTGGCATGTGGCATGGCCTAACCCTAGCAGGCACACAGCACACCCAGAAAGGAAAGTGGGCACTGAGGGACCCGGGTACCAGAGCAGGTGAAAGGTGTCTACCGAGAGCCAATAAAGCTCACGGCCAAGGGCTGCCTTAGCTGGGAAGGGTGGGAGATGAGGCTGACAAGGGTGCGTGCGTGCATGGGTGCGTGTGTGCGTCTCCTCTTAGGCGTTTCTCTGAATATCCCTCCAATATCCAGCCATCTGGATCTTGTTGATCTAATCCTCTTTGATTGTTCCCTCCCGAAAGCTGAAGGTGCCCATGATGTGTCTACCTAAGTAGCCTCATTTGCTTAAACTTGAGATATTTCTGTCTTAGTCTCCTGACGATTATAGGTGGCATGAGACACATGGTCCATCCATGTAAAGTTTTTTGTGCCTGTTTTGACAGGATCTCATTATGTATGCAAGGCTATCCTTGAACTCAACAGAATGGGTTGGAACTTGCAGTGATCCTCCTGCCTGAGCCTCTTTGGTGCTGAGATTACAAGTGTGCACCATTATGCCTGTCTCTGCTAAACATTTGTTTTTCTTGTTTTGTTATAAACGTGTTTTTGTGTACTTGTGTGTGTGCCCTCATGCTGTGGCACATGTGTAAATGCCTGTGGACAACTTGCAGGAGTCAATCCTCTCCTTTTATCATGTGGATTCTGTCAATCAAGCTCAGGTTGACTGTCCGAAAGAAAATATCCCCTTGTCTTCCACATATTAGCGCAAGGGAAGTCCAGAACTAGGTTCTGGGAAGTTCTAGCTTCTGGGATTCCTGACCCTTGGGGACACAGCCTCAAAGAGACCAGAATCAAAGGTCTCTTAAATGCTGGGACCTGGGTGCCTGCAACTCTGCCTGCCATCATGAATGAGGCTGGTGGAGCACAAGAGGGAGTCTTTTTTCCATTTGCTGGTGGGTGCCTTGCTGTCTCTGTGTGGATGAAGACTGTTGGAGTGGGGCCTGTCTCCATATCTCTAAGGCTGTTAAATTCTTTCCCCCTAGCATTGTTTGTACATGAGATGAGGCTCTAAGCACGGGATGTCTGCCACACAGCATCTTGCGTGCAGTGCTCTGCAGAATTCTTTCTCTTAACTAGCGATGGTGGGGTTTCCTTCAGCATGCAGCTTTCTCTTCCTCTTTGGGAGTGTTTATGTCACATTATCATCCTTCTGGGTGTGTCTCCCTTCTATGACTCTCCAACCCCTTGCTTGGTTTTGAGTGTCAGGGTTTTCACTCTGGTGGAGGTCTCTAATCCTAGCTGTGAGTCATTATGTTCTTGGGATGGAAACTGCTTGTCCCTGGCCTTGTGTGTATAGCGGGTTACTTAGGGCTCATGGGTGTTGTAGTGCTGCAAGGTTCGGTCACGGAGGTCCTCCCTGATGCAGATGGAGTTTTTCTTCCATGAGTGTGCCCTTCTGTGCGCAGATTGTGCGAGGGAGGCCCGCCGCCATGTGCCCTTCTGGCGTAGGTCTTGTCTTCAGGTTTGGCTCATTCAGCCTTTGAGGCCCTAGGGCTTGTCACTTTGTGTGTGTGTGTTAGTTCCTGTCACCTTGACACAGACAGTGGCTATCTGTAGTTGCAGCAGCAATTGTCCTGAGCTCTCATCTGTGGAGAGGAAAGAAAAGTCCTAGTCGCCGATGACAGAGGGGAGAGGATGCTCTTCTGGAGGTCACCCTTGCCAGGAACATTCTGCTTTTGGACATCTTCTAGATAAGCTCAGTATGGCCCCTCTGAGAGCAGGCACAGGCAGAGCCTTGCTGCTGCACGGATTTTTGTGGTGTTGGGTTGCAGGATGGGGCCCTTTTTTTTTTTTTTTTTTTTTACCTGGAGCATCCTTCCGGCCTCACTCCTTTTCTGTCATCCAAGCAGCCTTCTACATTAGGGGTTCTCCATTCCAGCCCTGCTGCTTATCATCACAAAGGGTACCAAGCCCATCTATTGGGCTGCAGAAATGGAGTTAGCAGACCTGAATTCTAGGGCTTTACCACTTCCCTGTTTTAGCTTCCATGTACCTTCCTTTCCCCATATGTGAGTGGCAGCCAGTGCTTCCTCCTTGCTGTCTAAATATGGCAGTGGTGGCCGCACACTAGGCACCTGCTAGGCACCTGCAATGTGTCAAGTGGAACTACATTTTTAACTTCAAGCTGTATAAAGGCAGTGCACCTTTATAATCTCAGAACTCAGAAGGTGGAGGCAGGAGGATCAGGAGGTTTGAGGTCATTCTCAGCTATACAGCAAGTTTGAGGTCGGCCTGGACAATATGAGACCGTATCTCAAAAAGCTAAAAACACAAAAAAACTAACAAACAAACAAAAAGGACCCATGGGGCTGGAACAATGGATTGGTGGTTAAGAGTGAGTACTATTTCAGAGGACCCAAGTTTGGCCCCTAGCACCTATGCTGGGCCACGCACAACCACCTGTAATTCCAGTTCCAGGGGAATTTGACACCTCTGGCCTCATGATCACTTGCAGTCAAGTACATATACATGCACATACATTTAAAAATATTTTAAAATTGGGAGCAGCCTGGCATAGTGGTGCAGGCCTTTAATCTCAGCATTCCAGCACTCTGGGGGCAGAGGCAGGCAGATATCTGAGTTTGAGGCCAGCCTGGGCTACATAGTGAGTTCCAGGAAAATCAGGGCTCCAGGGAAACCCTGTCTCGAAAATGACAACAAGAACAGCAGCAAAAAGAAATTTAATTTTATTTATGTATACACATGTGGGCCTGTGTATGCCACATATGTGAAGGTGTGTGTGGAGGCTGGAGGGCATAGAGACCCTGGAGCTGGAGTTACAGGTGGTGGTGAGCCACCCGACATGAACTCAGTCAGGTTCAGGGGACTGAACTCGGTTCTTTGGAAGAGCAGCAAGCATTCTGAACTCACCCTGAGTCATCTCTCATCTTTTTTCCCTAAGGGGGAAATACCACATTGGTTTAATTATCTGCCTACGATTATTTTATTTCTGGCTTTTGGAGACAGGTTCTCATGTAGCTCAGGCCATCCTTAAACTCTAGATCTTCCTGCTTGCCCACTTGAGTGCTGGGATTATAGTGTATACCAACCACCATGGCCGTCTAGTCCGTGTAAATTTAAATAGCCACATGTGGCTACCATGTGCGTAGCACACATTTGAATCTCTTCAAACCCCAAAGACTTGTGATGAGTGACTGAATTGTGAAGAGTCCCCCCCAACCTCCGAAGACCTTCTTTGGATTTCTCTGGAGGCCTATGTAACCTAACCATGTGGGAGGAAAGGGAGAACCCTCTGGGCTGGCTGGCTACAGGCTCCGCTGGTGGAAGATGGATCAAGAGCTTGAGTCCAGATGCAGAAATAAGGCCGTTGCCATTATGGCCCCACATCTCTCATCCCAGCAGGCCCAGACTTGAGAAGGGAGCCCTTCCTAGCTGTGTCAGGGTAGCAGGGCTGAGCAGGGCCAGCTCTGTAGCGTGAATCCAATGGTTCCTGTTCTCCGTGGTTGAGAGCTTTTCAGAATTACTTCTCTCAGTAGCCTACTGAGTGAAGCATATGGCAAGTTCCTGTTGGTCCTCAGTACTTTTTGCATCTAAAGACCCTTGTCCTAGGGCTCAGTCTAGAGAAGGGAAACTATGGAAGTCCTAGCTCCTCTGGTACCTCTGGGGGCCTGGTCGAGGTGGCATTGTATTGACTAGGTTTTAGGTGTGACCCTATGCATGTCTGGAACTGTTGCTTCAGACTGCACTGACTCACCGTGGAAGGGGAGGGTGGGGCCAGCATGTGGGTGAGTGAGCTGGCTCTTGTTCTCCTCTGCTGGCTCAGCACCAGGATGTTTAGCTGAACAAGGGGCCCTGCACAAGGTGGAAGACAGGGGTACTGGGGAAACCTGAAGGGGTGGCTTCAGTTCTTAGAGGTCTGAGCTAGAGACTTTTTTTTTTTTTAACCTTCCCTGCTTCTGCCTGGCTTCTGACTGGCAGGCTGGCTTCTCAGTGTTGGTCAGGGGCAGAGGGTGCCAGTTTCAATTTGGGAAGTCAGTATGGCTTTCCTCTTAAAGTGGCCTCTTCTGCCTGCTGAGAAGGGAGGAGGTGTTTCCCTAGCTCAAGCCTGTGCCAGGAGGCCTCTCTCCTGTCTTTGCTCACACTCTAGCCAGCACCTGTGTTGTTGAGTAGGCTCATGATAAATACTGCATTTATGAGTTGTGGAGTTTGAGAACAGGTGTGGCGATCTGAGGTTTATCTTTGTGTTTATATTTTGCCCATGTTGGTATCTGGATCTGCTAAGTGCCATGGATTTCTAAGAGCCACAGTCCCATCCTAGAGGCCAATTCCAGCACCTTGGAGCTCCATTTATATTTCATCGCCCTGAGACGACTCTTAAGACTTCTGGTACATTGTGGGGCCCAATTGGTTACCCAGAGTCCTTTGCTTATCACTTGTGCAGGGAGAGGAGTCCATGTCTTTTAAATTTGCATATCTGGCTCAGGGAGTGCATTCAGTAAATGTCTAAAGGATGCATGAGTGATGGGAGGTAACGATCTGATGCAGTATGCAATTAAGTGCTGGGCTGGGCTGTGTTGGACCTTCCTGGTATGCGTTACAATATATAGCACAGACTTGGACATCTAGGAGGTGACCCGTATGCATGTTTTTATTGATTGGTTGGCTAATTTCTGGATACAAACAGTTTCAGGGTGGGGCTTTGGGTGAGGCTCACCATAATTTACAGAGTCCCTCATACAATTTCTCAGGTTTGCTTTAGATGGCTGCCAGAGCCATTTTGTGTGTGTGTGGGGTTACAGTAGTCACTATATCTACCATTCTTTAGGGCGCCTTCCCAGGTGCTGATAACCTGAGCTGATAACCATCCAGTGGCAAGGAAGAAAGCCTTTACCTATGGGGTCTGGCTCAGGGCCCAGTGTGGGCAGCCACGTGGACCTTGACTCACCACAGGCCTCAGCGGGGCTCAGCTTTCCTTCAGCCTTTTGGCTTGGGGAGCCTGTGGGGATGGGAGTGTCTTTGTCCTTTTGGTCCTGAGGTTAGGCTAGATGGTAAACCAAGTCACTGTCAGTGGGGTAGGGGACAGAACCATCTGTCTCTACAGAAGTCTCACATGAGTGAATAGATCCACAGAAGCAGGCAGGGCCTGGTGTCAGCATCACCACTCTCTTTGTGTACATTCCCAACAAACTGGTCTTTCAGAGTCTCAGTCGCTTTGCTTGTAAGGTGGGACCAGCTCGTTTAGAGAATGGTGAAAATGACTGTGTTTAGAACCTCCATGGGCCAGCTGCTGTCTTCTTTCAATCTGTATGGAACTCTTACCATTTCCATGTTCACAGCCAAGGAAACAGGTTCAGAGAGGTCAAGTGTCCTTGGCTAGGAGGACGTGGCCAGCAGTAGAGACCTGGTCTAGTTTCCTTTAACTTCATTTTCTGTTGCTGACTGTAGTATTGACTTGGCCTGGGGAACAGCATCACTCTATCACTTGGGTGGCATCTCATTGAGGTTTTGAAAAGTCAAATGTGAGCATCACGATGAAATTTTTTTCCTAGGCTGTGTGACCAAGATTCCTCAAGTGAGTGACTGATAGAAGAGAAGGAGGGGCGGGCACCTGGCAAGGCATTTGCTCCTGAACAGAGTCCTGCAAAGGTTGGTAGGTGGGATGATGCAGAGGGATGGAAGTTAGGTTGGCGGATGCTGGGCATTTGATGTGGCATTTGGAATTGGGCCTTGGGTGGGTCAAAGGGCCAGTTACCCCCCTCTATATTCTTTAATGTACATTGGGAGGACTTCCAATACAGATCACTCTCCTCCCCGAGGAACCCCTCACTTGGCAGGTGAGCCAGGGCTGAGGGAATAGGTGTGTGACACTCGGGTTCCGTTCCCTGGGTGTGCACAACGCCAAAGATTTCTGGTGTTCTCATGCCTTTCTGCCCTCCATGTCCCTGTAACCAGAGCTTGTTTCTTCACCTCATCCCAGATGGAGAAGGAGGAGGAGACAACCCGGGAGCTGCTGCTGCCTAACTGGCAGGGCAGTGGCTCCCATGGGCTGACCATTGCCCAGAGGGACGATGGAGTCTTCGTACAGGAAGTGATGCAGAATTCCCCTGCGGCCCGCACTGGGGTGGTCAAGGAGGGTGAGTCTCCCCAGGATAGTGACTGGGCACTGGGGGGGGGTGAGAGAGGTTACTAAAGGGAAGGATGGGAGGCAGCGGGGCAAGCAGAAATGACCAGATGGCGGTGGAAGACTTGGGTCCCACAGCATAAGGATGGTCAGTACCCAAGCCTGCTCCTTTGCCTACTCTATGTCTTGCTTGTGAATGTGAGGGAAGGTACTTATGTGGAATCTTGGAGACCTTGTCTTCAGATCTGATCTGTTCCCCTCACCTGCTCTGCAGCTTTGTATAAAAGAGCTGGCCTCTGAGGCCACAGTCTGCTCATCTGCACACTGAATGGGCAATACTGTGTCTGCATGATATCCATGACACTCGAGGAAAGTCGGTTTCAGTGTCTGTTATGTGGCGCCTTCTTGAGACCTGTGGGTCTCCACTGACTGTTGCTCTTCCTCACTCAGGGGACCAGATTGTGGGTGCCACCATCTACTTTGACAACCTGCAGTCCGGTGAGGTGACCCAGCTGCTGAACACCATGGGGCATCACACTGTTGGTTTGAAGTTGCACCGTAAGGGGGACCGTTCCCCTGAGCCTGGACAGACCTGGACCCATGAAGTCTTCAGCTCCCGTAGCTCTGAGGTGGTTCTGGTGAGTTCCTGGTGACCCACCTTTGCTCTGAGCTCCCCATGATCCTGATGGCCTCCTGGCCTCACTTCCTGAGCCTTCTATTTGTGTTCTGGACCCCTGCTAATTAATTCCTTCTCGTTGTTTCATCTTTCTGCATTCTCTTATGACTTTTCTCTGCTGCTTTCTTCCTGTTTACGTTGAGGCATATGGCTGACTCTGCTCTTGCAAGTGTAGCGTTCCTTCAGTCTCCTGAGACTGTGCTGTGGTGTGGGAACCCACTCAAGCAACGGGGCTTTGGTGCCAAGAGGAGGGTCAGCTGCTTCACCAGAGCCCTTGCAGTGACTGCACGGGTGTTTAGCCTGCCTCTCTACATTCCATGAGTGAAAAGATGAGCAGCACAGTGCTCATGGGAAATTCTTCTTTACTCCTAATGGCTTGCTTATTGAATAAACCATGTCTCCTCAAAGTGACAGTATTACCCAAACACAGCCAGGCCATCAGGCTTTACAAATGCTTTCCAGTGTGCAAAGCCTCCTGGGAGACTCTTAAACAAAAAATCAGTGAGTTGAGAGTTGAAGGATGGAGAGCCTGGTTAGGATGGGTCCCTGGAACAGGTTGTTTTGAAGTATCACTAGGTGGTACAGCCTCTTGCTGGGCAACACAATCCAGGAATCTACATATTTCCTAACCCTGGAATGACCTTTGCTTACCAGAATTTTCTTCCAAATAATTTCTATTTTTCTCTTGTGATGTGAAGTCAGCCCCTTTCTTCAGTCCCCTGTGTTCTGTCCCAGGAGGCTGTCTGGACCTCTGCTATGTTCTGAGCATCTTTGGGAAACAGGCAACCCTTTTGTCAGCTAGGCTGCCAACTCAGATGGGCTTTGCTGCAACCTCTGCCGGGTGTGTCTTTCTGCAGAGTGGGGATGATGAGGACTACCAACGCATCTACACCACAAAGATCAAACCACATCTGAGGTCAGAGGATGGAGTAGAAGGGGACCTTGGGGAGACCCAGAGCCGTACCATCACAGTGACTAGAAGGGTCACAGCCTACACTGTGGATGTGACTGGTCGGGAAGGAGTGAAGGACATTGACATCAGCAGCCCTGAGTTCATGATCAAGATACCAAGGCATGAAGTGACCGAGATCTCCAGCACAGATGTGGAAACCCAGTCTGGGAAGACGGTGATCAGACTGCACTCAGGGTCGGGGGCAACTTCTCCAACCACAGGCTCTGCCATGGATATCCGGGCAGGTGCCATTTCTGCTTCAGGACCAGAGCTTGAAGGTGCTGGCCAATCAAAATTCCAGGTCACTGTGCCTGGAATAAAGGTGGGAAGTCCAGGCATCAATGTCAGTGCAAAAGGCTTGGACTTGGGTGGCAAGGGAGGGACCCAAGTTCCTGGAGTGGACATTTCACCTTCTCTTGGGTCTGGCTCAGTAGAGGTACAGGGTCCATCCCTCCAGAGTGGTGATATTGGGAAAATTAAAATTCCTACCATGAAGATGCCAAAATTTGGTGTCTCAGCAGGCCCGGAGGTGGGGCTTAATGTTTCTGCACCTGGTGACAAGCCAGGTTTGACCATTGGTAGTGATATTCAGGCTCCTCATCTGGAAGTCGGTGCCTCCTCTGCCAATATTGAGGGCCTTGGGGGGAAGCTGAAGGGTCCCCAATTCACTGGGCCATCACTTGAGAGTGACTTAGGTCTGAAAGGTACCAAGCTGCAGGGGAACATAGGAATGGATACTTGTGCTTCCAAAATTGAGGGCAGCATCACTGGTCCCACTACGGAAGTTGGAACCCCTGACATTGATGTTCATGGGCTAGGGGGCAAACTAAATGTGCCCAAGATGAAAGTCCCTAAATTCTCTGCATCAGGTTCAAAGGGAGAGGGAGTTGGCGTTGAAATGACATTGCCCACAGGTGAAGTGACACTTCCTGGGGTCTCTGGAGATGTCAATCTGCCTGAGATTGCTACTGGTGGGCTAGGAGGGAAGATGAAGGGTACTAAAGGCAAGGTTCCTGAAATGGTTATCCAGAAACCTAAAATCTCCATGCAGGATGTGGATCTGAGTGTTGGGTCCTGTAAACTGAAAGGAGATATGAAGGTGTCTGTTCCTGAGGTGAAAGGTGATGTTAAAGGCCCTCAGGTGGCAGTTAAAGGCTCCAGAGTGGATACAGAGACACCAAACTTAGAGGGGACCTTGACAGGCCCCAAGCTCAGCAGCCCTTCTGGAAAAATGGGATCCTGTAGGATCTCTATGGCAGATGTAGACTTAAATGTAGCTGCACCTAAAGGTAAAGGGGGTGTAGATATCATGCTACCCAAAGTAGAAGGAAAAATCAAAGCCCCTGAATTTGATGTCCAAGGCCCCAAAATGGATGTTAGTGTCCCAGATGTGGACGTTCATGGCCCAGAATGGAACTTGAAGATGCCCAAGATGAAGATGCCCAAGTTCAGTGTCCCAGAGGTCAAAGGAGAAGGTCCAGATGTAGACGTGACTCTGCCCAAAGGAGACATCAGTATTTCAGGGCCCAAGGTCAACATAGAAACCCCAAATGCCAACATGGAGAGTCTGGGGGGAAAACTTAAAGGTCCTGACGTTAACCTACCTGAAGTGAGTGTCAAGACTCCAAAGATGTCTATGCCTGACGTCAAAGGTGCAAAGGTGAAGGGAGAGTATGATTTAACAACACCAAAGCTTGAGGGAGAACTGAAAGGCCTCAAAGTGGACACTGATACCCCAGAAGTGGATGTTCATGGCCCAGGCCTGAAGATGCCCAAGATGAAGATGCCCAAATTCAGTGTGCCAGGGTTCAAAGCAGAAGGCCCAGAAGTGGATATGAACCTGCCCAAGGCTGGTGTGGACATTGCTGGGCCTAAGGTGGAGGTGAGTGCTCCAGAGGTGAGCATTGAAGGACCAGAAGGGAAACTGAAAGGACCTAAGTTTAAAATGCCTGAAATGAATATCAGAGCCCCAAAGATCTCCATGCCAGATGTGGACTTACACTTAAAAGGCCCTAGCGTAAAAGGAGAATATGATGTCACAGTGCCGAGGGCTGAAGGTGAGATGAAAGTTCCTGATGTTGAACTTAAAAGTGCCAAGTTGGACATTGATGTACCAAATGTGGATGTTCAAGGTCCGGAATGGCACATGAAGATGCCCAAGGTGAAAATGCCCAAGTTTGGCATGCCAGGCTTCAAGGCAGAGGGTCCAGAAGTGGAGGTCAATCTCCCTAAGGCCAACATTGATGTCTCAGGACCCAAGGTGGGCGTCAAAGCTCCAGAGGTGAACATTGAAGGACCTGAAGGAAAGCTGAAGGGTCCTAAGCTGGAGGCGCCTGAGATGAACATCAAGGCCCCAAAGATCTCCATGCCTGATGTGGATTTGCATATGAAAGGCCCAAAGGTAAAAGGAGAGTATGATGTCACAGTACCAAAGATTGAAGGAGACTTGAAAGGTCCAAAAGTAGATGTCAGCGCTCCAAATGTTGATATTCATGGTCCTGATTGGAACTTGAAAATGCCTAAGATTAAAATGCCCAAATTTAGCATGCCTAGTCTCAAAGGAGAAGGCCCAGAGTTGGATGTGAGCATGCCCAAGGCTGACATGGACATTTCTGTACCAAAGCTAGATATTAGTGCTCCAGATTTGAACCTTGAGGGACCAGAAGGGAAGTTGAAAGGCCCCAAGTTTAAGATGCCTGAGATGCATTTCAAGGCTCCAAAGGCATCTCTACCAGATGTGGACCTGGATCTCAAAGGACCCAAAATGAAAGGAAATCTAGACGTGTCTACACCAAAAATAGAGGGAGAGATGAAAGTTCCAGACGTGGACATTAAAGGTCCGAAGGTAGATATTAAAGTTCCAGATGTGGAAGGTCAAGGCCCAGACTGGAGCCTGAAAATGCCAAAGATGAAAATGCCTAAGTTCAGTATGCCTACTCTCAAAGGAGACGGTCCAGATGTGGACGTGAACCTCCCTAAGGCTGACATTGATGTCTCAGGACCAAAAGTGGACATTGAAACTCCAGATGTGAGCCTTGAGGGCCCAGAAGGGAAGCTGAAGGGCCCCAAGTTTAAGATGCCTGACATGCACTTTAAGGCTCCCAAGATCTCCATGCCCGATGTGGACTTGAAAGGCCCCAAAGTCAAGGGGGAAATGGATGTGACAGTGCCCAAAATTGAAGGTGAAGTGAAAGTGCCGGATGTGGACATCAAAGGTCCCAAAGTGGACATCAATGCCCCAGATGTTGATGTTCATGGACCAGACTGGCACCTGAAGATGCCCAAGATGAAAATGCCGAAGTTCAGCATGCCCGGCTTCAAAGCAGAAGGCCCTGAAGTGGATGTGAACCTGCCAAAGGCTGACATTGATGTGTCAGGACCCAACGTGGACATTGAGGCTCCAGAGGTGAGCATCGAGGGCCCAGAAGGGAAGTTGAAAGGCCCCAAGTTTAAGATGCCTGATATGCATTTCAAGGCTCCCAAGATCTCCATGCCTGATGTGGACTTAAATATTAAGGGGCCCAAAGGAAAAGCAGATGTGGATGTATCATTGCCTGAGGTAGAAGGTGAAATAAAAGTGCCAGATGTGGACATTAAAGGGCCCAAAGTTGGCATTGATGTTCCAGATGTTGAAAGTCATGGCCCAGACTGGCACCTGAAGATGCCTAAAATAAAAATGCCCAAATTCAGCATGCCTGGCTTCAAAGGAGAGGGCCCCGAAGTAGATGTGAATCTGCCAAAGGCTGACATTGATGTGTCAGGACCCAAGGTGGACATTGATGTTCCAGATGTGAATATTGAAGGTCCTGATGCAAAACTAAAAGGGCCAAAATTTAAGATGCCAGAAATGAATATAAAGCCTCAGAAGATATCCATGCCAGATGTTAGCTTGAATTTGAAAGGTCCTAAAGTGAAAGGAGAACATAATGTCTCGGTTCCAAAAGTGGGAGTAGAAGTAAAAGCTCCCACCATTGACATCAAGGGCCCTAAAGTAGATGCACCAGATGTGGATGTTCACGGCCCAGATTGGCACCTGAAGATGCCCAAGGTGAAAATGCCCAAGTTCAGCATGCCTGGCTTCAAAGCAGAGGGCCCTGAAGTAGATGTGAACCTGCCAAAGGCTAACATTGATGTTTCAGGACCCAAGGTGGACATTGATGTTCCAGATGTGAATATTGAAGCTCCAGAAGGGAAACTGAAGGGCCCCAAGTTCAAGATGCCGAGCATGAATATACAGACACACAAAATCTCTATGCCTGATGTTGGGCTTCATCTGAAAGGACCCAAACTGAAAAGTGATGTAGATGTTTCTCTTCCAAAAGTGGAAGGAGATTTGAGAGGTCCTGAAGTTGATGTTAAAGTTCCTAAGATGGATGTGGATGTTGGTGATATTGATATCGAATGTCCAGAAGGGAAGCTGAAGGGCCCCAAGTTTAAGATGCCTGACATGCACTTCAAGGCCCCTAAGATCTCCATGCCTGATGTGGACTTACACTTGAAAGGCCCCAAAGTCAAAGGGGATATGGATGTGACTGTACCTAAGGTAGAAGGTGAAATGAAAGTTACAGATATAGACATTAAAGGCCCCAAAGTGGACATCAATGCCCCAGATGTGGATGTTCACGGTCCAGACTGGCACCTGAAGATGCCCAAGGTGAAAATGCCCAAGTTCAGCATGCCTGGCTTCAAAGCAGAGGGCCCTGAAGTAGATGTGAACCTGCCAAAGGCTGACATTGATGTTTCAGGACCCAAGGTGGACATTGATGTTCCAGATGTGAATATTGAAGGTCCTGATGCAAAACTGAAGGGCCCCAAGTTCAAGATGCCCAAGCTGAATATCAAGGCTCCTAAGATCTCCATGCCAGATGTGGACTTGAATTTGAAGGGGACTAAGCTAAAAGGAGAGATTGATGTTTCTGTTCCAGAAATGGAAACTGATCTCGGAGGTCCTCAAGTTGATATTAAAGGCCCCAGTCTGGATGTGAAAGTACCTGATGCTGACCTGGAATGTCCTGATGCAAAGTTGAAAGGCCCCAAGTTTAAGATGCCTGACATGCACTTCAAGGCTCCCAAGATCTCCATGCCTGATGTGGACTTACATTTGAAAGGCCCCAAAGTCAAGGGGGAAATGGATGTGGCAGTACCCAAACTAGAGGGAGAATTAAAAGGCCCCAGTATGGATGTGGAAGTACCTGATGTTGACCTGGAATGTCCTGATGCAAAGTTGAAAGGCCCCAAGTTTAAGATGCCTGACATGCACTTCAAGGCTCCCAAGATCTCCATGCCTGATGTGGACTTACACTTGAAAGGCCCCAAAGTCAAGGGGGAAATGGATGTGACAGTGCCCAAACTAGAGGGAGAATTAAAAGGCCCCAGTATGGATGTGGAAGTACCTGATGTTGACCTGGAATGTCCTGATGCAAAGTTGAAAGGCCCCAAGTTTAAGATGCCTGACATGCACTTCAAGGCTCCCAAGATCTCCATGCCTGATGTGGACTTACACTTGAAAGGCCCCAAAGTCAAGGGGGAAATGGATGTGACAGTGCCCAAACTAGAGGGAGAATTAAAAGGCCCCAGTATGGATGTGGAAGTACCTGATGTTGACCTGGAATGTCCTGATGCAAAGTTGAAAGGCCCCAAGTTTAAGATGCCTGACATGCACTTCAAGGCTCCCAAGATCTCCATGCCTGATGTGGACTTACACTTGAAAGGCCCCAAAGTCAAGGGGGAAATGGATGTGACAGTGCCCAAGATTGAAGGTGAAATGAAAGTGCCAGATGTGGACATCAAAGGTCCCAAAGTGGACATCAATGCCCCAGATGTGGATGTTCATGGACCAGACTGGCACCTGAAGATGCCCAAGATGAAAATGCCCAAGTTCAGCATGCCTGGCTTCAAAGCAGAAGGCCCTGAAGTTGATGTGAACTTACCCAAGGCTGACATTGATGTTTCATGTCCCAAGGTGGACGTTGAAGTTCCTGATGTAAGCATTGAAGGGCCAGAAGGGAAGCTGAAGGGCCCCAAGTTTAAGATGCCTGACATGCATTTCAAGGCCCCCAAGATCTCCATGCCTGATGTTGATTTCAACTTAAAGGGTCCTAAAACCAAAGGAGATATTGATGTTTCAGTCCCAAAACTTGAGGGAGAATTAAAGGCTCCAGAACTGGATGTCAAGGGCCCGAAATTGGATGCTGACATGCCAGAAGTAGCTGTGGAAGGCCCAGATGGTAAATGGAAAAGTCCTAAATTCAAGATGCCAGACATGCACTTTAAAGCTCCAAAAATCTCCATGCCAGACATTGATCTTCACTTAAAGAGTCCAAAGATAAAGGGGGAGGTTGATGTAGAGGTTCCCAAATTGGAAGGAGACTTCAAAGGGCCAAATGTGGACATGAGTGGGCCAGATATTGAGATCGAAGGACCAGAAGGCAAATTGAAAGGCCCTAAGTTTAAAATGCCTGAAATGAACATCAAAGCCCCCAAAATCTCCATGCCTGATTTGCATCTTAAGGGTCCAAAGATAAAGGGTGATGTGGATGTTTCCCTACCCAAAGTGGAAGGAGACCTCAAAGGCCCAGAGGTTGACATCAAGGGACCCAAAGTGGACATTGATACTCCAGATGTTGATGTTCATGGTCCAGATTGGCACCTGAAGATGCCCAAGTTGAAAATGCCCAAGTTCAGCATGCCTGGCTGCAAAGGAGATGGCCCTGAAGTGGATGTGAATCTACCTAAGGCTGACATTGATGTGTCAGGACCCAAAGTGGACATTGAAGGCCCTGATGTAAACATTGAAGGACCAGAAGGAAAGTTGAAAGGTCCTAAGTTCAAGATGCCAGAGATGAACATCAAAGCCCCCAAGATCTCCATGCCTGACATAGATTTAAACCTGAAAGGCCCCAAAGTGAAGGGTGATGTAGACGTGTCTCTGCCAAAAGTGGAAGGTGAGATTAATGTTCCTGAAGTTGACATCAAGGGACCCAAAGTGGACATTGATGTCCCTGATGTAGATGTTCATGGTCCAGATTGGCACCTGAAGATGCCCAAGGTGAAGATGCCCAAGTTCAGCATGCCTGGTTTCAAAGGAGATGGCCCTGAAGTGGATGTGAATCTACCAAAGGCTGACATTGATGTGTCAGGACCCAAAGTGGACATTGAAGGCCCTGATGTAAACATTGAAGGTCCTGATGCAAAACTGAAGGGCCCCAAGTTCAAGATGCCTGAGATGAACATCAAGGCTCCTAAGATCTCCATGCCAGATTTGCATCTTAAGGGTCCCAAGGTAAAGGGAGATGTGGATGTTTCCCTGCCCAAAGTGGAAGGAGACCTCAAAGGCCCAGAGGTTGACATCAAGGGACCCAAAGTGGACATTGATGTCCCTGATGTAGATGTTCATGGTCCAGATTGGCACCTGAAGATGCCCAAGGTGAAAATGCCCAAGTTCAGCATGCCTGGCTTCAAAGGAGAGGGCCCTGAAGTGGATGTGAATCTACCAAAGGCTGACATTGATGTGTCAGGACCCAAAGTGGACATTGAAGGCCCTGATGTAAACATTGAAGGTCCTGATGCAAAACTGAAGGGCCCCAAGTTCAAGATGCCTGAGATGAACATCAAGGCTCCTAAGATCTCCATGCCAGATTTGCATCTTAAGGGTCCCAAGGTAAAGGGAGATGTGGATGTTTCACTGCCCAAAGTGGAAGGAGACCTCAAAGGCCCAGAGGTTGACATCAAGGGACCCAAAGTGGACATTGATGTCCCAGATGTAGATGTTCATGGTCCAGATTGGCACCTGAAGATGCCCAAGGTGAAAATGCCCAAGTTCAGCATGCCTGGCTTCAAAGGAGAGGGCCCTGAAGTGGATGTGAATCTACCAAAGGCTGACATTGATGTGTCAGGACCCAAAGTGGACATTGAAGGCCCTGATGTAAACATTGAAGGTCCTGATGCAAAACTGAAGGGCCCCAAGTTCAAAATGCCTGAGATGAACATCAAGGCTCCTAAGATCTCCATGCCAGATTTGCATCTTAAGGGTCCCAAGGTAAAGGGAGATGTGGATGTTTCCCTGCCCAAAGTGGAAGGAGACCTCAAAGGCCCAGAGGTTGACATCAAGGGACCCAAAGTGGACATTGATGTCCCAGATGTAGATGTTCATGGTCCAGATTGGCACCTGAAGATGCCCAAGGTGAAAATGCCCAAGTTCAGCATGCCTGGCTTCAAAGGAGAGGGCCCTGAAGTGGATGTGAATCTACCAAAGGCTGACATTGATGTGTCAGGACCCAAAGTGGACATTGAAGCCCCTGCTGTAAACATTGAAGGTCCTGATGCAAAACTGAAGGGCCCCAAGTTCAAGATGCCTGAGATGAACATCAAGGCTCCTAAGATCTCCATGCCAGATTTGCATCTTAAGGGTCCCAAGGTAAAGGGAGATGTGGATGTTTCCCTGCCCAAAGTGGAAGGAGACCTCAAAGGCCCAGAGGTTGACATCAAGGGACCCAAAGTGGACATTGATGTCCCAGATGTAGATGTTCATGGTCCAGATTGGCACCTGAAGATGCCCAAGATGAAAATGCCCAAGTTCAGCATGCCTGGCTTCAAAGCAGAGGGCCCTGAAGTAGATGTGAACCTGCCAAAGGCTGACATTGATGTGTCAGGACCCAAGGTGGACATTGATGTTCCAGATGTGAATATTGAAGGTCCTGATGCAAAACTGAAGGGCCCCAAGTTCAAGATGCCTGAAATGAACATCAAAGCTCCCAAGATCTCCATGCCAGATTTGGACCTCAATCTTAAAGGCCCCAAATTGAAAACAGATATGGATGTTTCACTTCCAAATGTAGAGGGTGATTTGAAAGGGCCTTCTCTTGATATAAAGGGTCCCAAATTAGACATTAATGCTCCAGATGTTGACATTCATGGTCCTGAGGGCAAATTAAAAGGTCCCAAACTGAAAATGCCTGACATGCATGTAAACATGCCTAAGATCTCCATGCCAGAAATTGACCTGAATTTAAAGGGCTCAAAACTCAAGGGAGATGTTGATATATCTGGACCCAAATTAGAGGGTGACATTAAAACTCCCAAGTTGGATGTGAAGGGCCCAGAAGTGGACATTTCTGCTCCCAAGGTCAATATTGAAGGGAAAGCAAAGAAATCTCGTTTTAAGCTCCCCAAATTTAATTTCTCTGGGTCCAAAGTTCAGACACCTGACATGGATGTTAAAGTTAAAAAGCCAGATGTTGATGTAACAGCTCCAAAAGTTGATATTAATGCTCCAGAAGTTGAAGTCCAAGGCAAAGCGAAAGGATCCAAGTTTAAAATGCCTTTCCTGAGTATTTCATCTCCCAAAGTTTCTATGCCTGATGTGGAGCTAAATTTGAAAGGCCCTAAAGTCAAAGGAGACTTAGATTTAGCAGGTCCAAATTTAGAGGGTGACTTTAAAAGCCCCAAAGTGGATATTAAAGCACCAGAAGTTCATCTTAGTGCACCTGATGTGGATGTTCATGGTCCAGAATGGAATCTGAAGATGCCCAAGATGAAAATGCCCAAGTTTGGTGTGTCTGGCTTCAAAGCAGAAGGGCCTGATGTGGCTATGGATTTACCAAAAGGAGACATCAATATAGAAGGTCCAAGGATGAATATAGAAGGACCAGAACTCAATGTGGAATGTCCAGAGGGAACCTTAAAAGGCCCCAAAATTCAGATGCCTGAGATGAACATCAAAGCCCCCAAGATCTCTATGCCTGACATTGACTTAAACCTGAAAGGCTCAAAGGTAAAAGGTGATGTAGATGTTTCTCTTCCCAAACTTGAAGGGGATGTTAAAGGGCCTAAAGTTGACATCAAAAGCCCCAAAATGGATGCTCCAGATGTGGATGTTCATGGTCCAGATTGGCACCTGAAGATGCCCAAGGTGAAAATGCCCAAGTTCAGCATGCCTGGCTTCAAAGCAGAGGGCCCTGAAGTAGATGTGAACCTGCCAAAGGCTAACATTGATGTTTCAGGACCCAAGGTGGACATTGATGTTCCAGATGTGAATATTGAAGGTCCTGATGCAAAACTGAAGGGCCCCAAGTTCAAGATGCCTGAGGTAAACATCAAGGCTCCTAAGATCTCCATGCCTGACATTGATTTGCATCTGAAAGGTCCTAAAGTGAAGGGAGATATGGATGTGTCTTTGCCCAAAGTAGAAGGTGACTTCAAGGGCCCAGATGTGGATATTACAGGCCCTAAAGTGGACATTGATATTCCTGATGTTAGCATTGAAGGTCCAGAGGGCAAACTGAAGGGCCCCAAGTTCAAGATGCCTGAGATGAACATCAAAGCCCCCAAAATCTCCATGCCTGATTTGCATCTTAAGGGTCCCAAGGTAAAGGGAGATGTGGATGTTTCCCTGCCCAAAGTGGAAGGTGACGTCAAAGTCCCTGAAGTTGACATCAAAGGACCCAAAGTGGACATCAATGCCCCAGATGTTGATGTTCATGGTCCAGATTGGCACCTGAAGATGCCCAAGATGAAAATGCCCAAGTTCAGCATGCCTGGCTTCAAAGGAGATGGCCCTGAAGTGGATGTGAATCTACCTAAGGCTGACATTGATGTGTCAGGACCCAAAGTGGACATTGAAGGCCCTGATGTAAACATTGAAGGACCAGAAGGAAAGTTGAAAGGTCCTAAGTTCAAGATGCCAGAGATGAACATCAAAGCCCCCAAGATCTCCATGCCTGACATAGATTTAAACCTGAAAGGCCCCAAAGTGAAGGGTGATGTAGACGTGTCTCTGCCAAAAGTGGAAGGTGAGATTAATGTTCCTGAAGTTGACATCAAGGGACCCAAAGTGGACATTGATGTCCCTGATGTAGATGTTCATGGTCCAGATTGGCACCTGAAGATGCCCAAGGTGAAGATGCCCAAGTTCAGCATGCCTGGTTTCAAAGGAGATGGCCCTGAAGTGGATGTGAATCTACCAAAGGCTGACATTGATGTGTCAGGACCCAAAGTGGACATTGAAGGCCCTGATGTAAACATTGAAGGTCCTGATGCAAAACTGAAGGGCCCCAAGTTCAAGATGCCTGAGATGAACATCAAGGCTCCTAAGATCTCCATGCCAGATTTGCATCTTAAGGGTCCCAAGGTAAAGGGAGATGTGGATGTTTCCCTGCCCAAAGTGGAAGGAGACCTCAAAGGCCCAGAGGTTGACATCAAGGGACCCAAAGTGGACATTGATGTCCCAGATGTAGATGTTCATGGTCCAGATTGGCACCTGAAGATGCCCAAGGTGAAAATGCCCAAGTTCAGCATGCCTGGCTTCAAAGGAGATGGCCCTGAAGTGGATGTGAATCTACCAAAGGCTGACATTGATGTGTCAGGACCCAAAGTGGACATTGAAGCCCCTGATGTAAACATTGAAGGTCCTGATGCAAAACTGAAGGGCCCCAAGTTCAAGATGCCTGAGATGAACATCAAGGCTCCTAAGATCTCCATGCCAGATTTGCATCTTAAGGGTCCCAAGGTAAAGGGAGATGTGGATGTTTCCCTGCCCAAAGTGGAAGGAGACCTCAAAGGCCCAGAGGTTGACATCAAGGGACCCAAAGTGGACATTGATGTCCCAGATGTAGATGTTCATGGTCCAGATTGGCACCTGAAGATGCCCAAGGTGAAAATGCCCAAGTTCAGCATGCCTGGCTTCAAAGGAGATGGCCCTGAAGTGGATGTGAATCTACCAAAGGCTGACATTGATATGTCAGGACCCAAGATGGATATTGACTCTCCTGACATTGACATTCATGGTCCAGAGGGGAAACTGAAGGGCCCCAGGTTTAAAATGCCTGATCTCCACCTCAAGGCACCCAAGATCTCAATGCCAGAAGTTGACCTGAACCTGAAAGGTCCAAAAGTGAAGGGTGATGTAGATGTTTCTCTGCCCAAAGTGGAAGGAGACCTCAAAGGCCCAGAGGTTGACATCAAAGGACCCAAAGTGGACATTGATGTCCCAGATGTAGATATTCATGGTCCAGATTGGCACCTGAAGATGCCCAAGGTGAAAATGCCCAAGTTCAGCATGCCTGGCTTCAAAGCAGAGGGCCCTGAAGTAGATGTGAACCTGCCAAAGGCTAACATTGATGTTTCAGGACCCAAGGTGGACATTGATGTTCCAGATGTGAATATTGAAGGTCCTGATGCAAAATTGAAGGGCCCCAAGTTCAAGATGCCTGAGGTAAACATCAAGGCTCCTAAGATCTCCATGCCTGACATTGATTTGCATCTGAAAGGTCCTAAAGTGAAGGGAGATATGGATGTGTCCTTGCCCAAAGTAGAAGGTGACTTCAAGGGCCCAGATGTGGATATTACAGGCCCTAAAGTGGACATTGATATTCCTGATGTTAACATTGAAGGTCCAGAGGGCAAACTGAAGGGCCCCAAGTTCAAGATGCCTGACGTGAACATCAAAGCCCCCAAGATCTCCATGCCTGACTTTGATTTGCATCTGAAAGGTCCTAAAGTGAAAGGAGATATGGATACTTCCTTGCCTAAAATGGAAGGTGAACTAAAGGGCCCTGGTATCGATATCAAGGGCCCAAGTGTGGATATTGACACTCCTGATGTCAATATTGAAGGTCCAGAAGGAAAATTAAAAGGGCCCAAATTCAAAATGCCAGACATGCATATCAAAACTCCAAAGATATCCTTGCCTGAATTTGACTTAAATCTTAAAGGGCCCAAGGTAAAAGGAGATGTGGACCTTGCCGTACCTAAGGTGGAAGGTGACCTCAAAGGGCCAGAGATAGACATTGAGGGCCCTGAAGGAAAACTCAAAGGTCCAAAGTTTAAGATGCCAGATGTTCATTTCAAAACCCCACAAATTTCAATGAGTGACATTGATTTGAACATGAAAGGACCTAAGATAAAGGGAGATTTGGACATTTCTATTCCTAAAGTAGAAGGGGATTTGAAAGGTCCCAAAGTGGATGTCAAAGGCCCCAAACTGGACATCGACACTCCTGACATTGACATTCATGGCCCAGAAGGAAAGCTGAAGGGTCCTAAGTTTAAAATGCCTGATCTCCACCTCAAGGCACCCAAGATCTCAATGCCAGAAGTTGACCTGAACCTGAAAGGTCCAAAAGTGAAGGGTGATGTGGACGTGTCTCTGCCAAAAGTGGAAGGAGACCTCAAAGGCCCAGAAGTTGACATCAAAGGACCCAAAGTGGACATTGATGTCCCAGATGTGGATGTTCACAGTCCAGACTGGCACCTGAAGATGCCCAAGATGAAGATGCCCAAGTTCAGCATGCCTGGCTTCAAAGCAGAGGGCCCTGAAGTGGATGTGAATCTACCAAAGGCTGACATTGATGTGTCAGGACCTAAGGTGGACATTGATGTTCCAGATGTGAATATTGAAGGTCCTGATGCAAAATTGAAGGGCCCCAAGTTCAAGATGCCTGAGGTGAACATCAAGGCTCCCAATATCTCTATGCCTGATGTGGATCTTGAGTTAAAAGGACCCAAAGTAAAGGGAGACTTTGATGTGTCTGTTCCTAAGATTGAAGGTACTCTCAAAGGACCTGAAGTGGGCCTGAAAGGTCCAGGCTTGGATTTCGAAGGCCCTGATGCTAAATTTAGTGGCCCTACCTTGAAGATGCCATCACTTGATGTATCTGCTCCTAAAGTAACTGGGCCTGATGTTAATTTGCACCTCAAGACACCAAAAATTGGAGTTTCTGGGCCTAAGTTAGGAGGTGAAGTCGATCTTAAGGGGCCCAAAGTCGATTTAGAAACTCCAAGCTTAGATGTCCACATGGAGAGCCCAGATATTAATATTGAGGGGCCAGATGTTAAAGTTCCGAAGTTTAAAAAGCCCAAGTTTGGATTTGGTGCAAAAAGCCCAAAAGTTGACATCAAAACACCTTCAGTTGATGTGACTATGCCTGAAGCAGAGCTGAGTGTTGAGACTCCTGAAGTAAACATTGGTGGAAAGGGCAAGAAAAGCAAGTTTAAAATGCCTAAAATTCACATGAGTGGCCCTAAAGTTAAGGCCAAAAAGCAGGGATTTGACTTGAATGTTCCTGGAGGTGAGATTGATGCCAGTCTCAAGGCCCCTGAAGTGGATGTTGGTGTGGCAGGACCTGATGCTGCACTCAAAGTTGATGTAAAGTCTCCCAAAGTCAAGAAAACCATGTTTGGGAAAATGTATTTCCCAGATGTAGAATTTGACATTAAGTCACCTAAATTTAAAGCAGAGGCTTCCCTACCTAGCCCCAAGATGGAGGGTGAAATCAAGGTACCTGATCTGGATATGTCTTCACCAGGGGTTAATGTGGAAGCTCCTGACATTCATGTGAAAGCTCCCAAGTTCAAGGTCCCAGGTGTGGACGTCTCAGGGCCAAAGATAGAGGGCAACCTGAAAGGTCCTAAGGTGCAGGCAAACTTGGGCACACCTGACATCAACATCGAAGGCTCTGATACCAAGATCAAAGCACCCTCATTTAGTGTTTCTGCTCCTCAAGTCTCCATACCTGATGTGAACGTTAAGTTGAAAGGACCAAAGATAAAGGGTGATATCTCCAGTGTGGGACTCGAAGGACCTGACATAGATTTGCAAGGTCCAGAAGGAAAAATCAAGTTCCCTAAGTTTTCACTGCCCAAGATCAGTGCCCCTGGTGTGAAAATGGAAGGTGGGGGCACTGAGATCTGTGCCAAGATGCCCTCCTTTGAAGGAGGCTTGAGCACATCAGATGTTAAGTTTGAAGGGCCTGATATGTCTCTAAAGGGCTCAGGAGTGGACTTGCCTTCAGTGGACCTCTCTATGCCAAAAGTTTCTGGGCCTGATCTTGACCTGAACTTGAAAGGACCAAGTCTGAAGGGAGACCTGGATGCATCCAGTCCCAGCATGAAGCTGCAGGCTCCAGGTCTTGACCTCAAAGGTATTGGTGGAAAAGTAAAGATAGGAGGCGATGGCATGAAAGTGTCAGGGATTGATGCCACAACAGCACTTAATGTGGGGGCACCAGATGTGACACTGAAGGGACCAAGTCTACAGGGAGATCTGGCTATGTCTGGGGACATCAAGTGTCCTGAAATATCTGTGGGTGCTCCTGATCTCAGCTTGGAGGCCTCAGAAGGTGGTGTCAAACTTCCCCACATGAAGCTGCCTCAGTTTGGCATCTCTACTCCAGGGTCCGACTTGGACATTAACATCAAGGGGCCACAAGTTTGTGGAGAACTAAAGGGGCCAGGGATGGATGTGAATCTGAAAGGGCCCCAGATCTCAGCACCAAGCATGGGCTTTAACTTGGAAGGACCAAAAGTGAAGGGGGGCCTTGGGGCCACTGGTGAATTGAAAGGCCCAGCAGTTGGGGGAAGTCTTCCGGGTATCAGTGTTCATGGCCTAGAAGGAAATCTCCAAATGCCTGGAATTAAGGCTTCTGGGTGTGATGTGAAACTCCCAACGGGGCAGCTTTCTGGTCCTGAAATTAAAGGAGATCTGAAAGGTGCAGGAATAGGTCTCCATGATATCAATGTCAAGGGGCCTTCCTTTAACACAGCGTCTCCCGAGTCAGATTTTGGTGTCAGCTTGAAGGGCCCTAAAGTCAAAGGAGGTGTAGATGTTTCAGGGGGTGTCAGTGTCCCAGACATCAGCTTGGGTGAAGGGCATCTGAGTGTCAAAGGCTCTGGGGTTGAGTGGAAGGAACCCCAGGTCTCCTCCTCTCTAAACTTGGATACATCTAAACTTGCTGGGAACTTTCATTTCTCAGGACCAAAGATAGAAGGAGGTGTGAAAGGAGGCCAGATTGGACTCCACGGTCCCGGGCTGAGTGTGTCTGGGCCTCAGGGTCACTTGGAAAGTGGATCTGGAACAGTAACATTCCCCAAGATGAAGATCCCCAAATTTACCTTCTCTGGCCGTGAGCTCATTGGCAGAGAGGTGGGGGTGGATGTCAACTTCCCTAAAGTAGAGGCCAATGTGCAGGCAGGTGCAGAAGGTGACTGGGAAGAGTCTGAAGTAAAACTTAAAAAATCCAAAATCAAAATGCCAAAATTTAATTTTTCCAAGCCTAAAGGGAAAGGTGGTGTCACTGGCTCACCAGAAGCATCGATTTCGGGGTCCAAAGGGGACCTGAAGAGCTCAAAGGCCAGCTTGGGCTCTCTGGAAGGAGAAGCAGAGGCTGAAGCATCTTCACCAAAAGGCAAATTTTCCCTGTTTAAAAGCAAGAAACCAAGACACCGCTCCAACTCCTTCAGCGACGAGAGGGAGTTCTCTGCTCCTTCCACCCCAACTGGGACTTTGGAGTTTGCAGGTGGAGAAGTTAAAGGCAAACACGGAAAGCTGAAATTTGGTACCTTTGGTGGGCTGGGTTCAAAGAGCAAAGGTCATTATGAGGTGACAGGGAGTGATGATGAGGGAGCCAAGTTACAGGGGAGTGGAGTGTCTTTGGCCTCAAAGAAGTCCCGACTGTCTTCCTCCTCTAGCAATGACAGTGGGCCTAAGGTTGGCATCCAGCTTCCTGAAGTAGAACTATCAATTTCCACAAAGAAAGAGTAGTGGCCCTTGAATGTGTGTACATATATATAAATACATCAGCCTTGGGTGTGTTTGTATATAAACTCCAAAGAGAAACACCCCAACAGCCTCAGCAATAATACAAAGATCTTGCCTCTACCAGTGGCAAGCGTTGACAAACCAAGTGCCTCTAGGCCCCTGGGACTCTGCAGCTAGGTAAAGGGTTCTAAGTTCATCCAGCCCATGTGCAAAGTCATCAGTATTTGCCTTAATATTTCAGTTTTTTGGTTTCTTTCTTTCTTCTTCTTTTTTTGCATTGAACGCTGAGAGCTCGTGTTTACTAAGCAAGCTTTGTGTTTATCATCCTTATTTTTACTGAATATTGTTAGTACCTGGGTAATGGAAACCCACTTTTTTTTTTCATTGTAATGACTTTGGGGACTTTGAGTAAGGGAGGGTGGTATAAAAAGTAGCAGAGGGGGCCAGGCTTAGTTGCTCTGAAGGTTGGAAATGTACAAACACCCTGGCATGGCTCAGAGGAGGTGGCAGCTAGCAGTGGATGTTTCACAATTCCCTGTAGCATGATTTGTTTTATCCCCAGGTGTGTTAGTCCTAGCCTAGGTTGGTGCTCAAGGTGAGACGGGGATTTGAATCTGTTTGCAAATTGTCCAGCCCATCAGGTCAAGGTGAGGGGCTTCCCTTCTGGGTTTGGTAAGAAAAGTATTCATTCATGACTGCCATGTTCTGAGAAAAGTTCTGATTCCTTTTTAACAAATGTCATCGTGATTAAGGAAATGTCTGGCACTTTAATGGCAAATTAATTCAGAATGTAAGAAAGTTGATGCTGTACAAGGCAAATAAAGCCATTTATTAACCCTGATGATGTATTCTGCTCTTGCATTCTGTGTGGAGGGGATGAAGCTAAGGGAGGCTGCACACACAGCCCTCACTATTCGGACTTGATCCACCCAGTGGCATTGTTAGTTTCGCTACTGACTTTAAGGCATGACCTCTGCATAGGTACTAGGAGTAAGTCTTTGCTTCTTGATTCTTACGGGAGACTAGCTGCATCACAGCTGAGCAATCAAGAGTGGCTAGAGGCCATAACTCACTATAGAATGCCTACCTTAGCATGAGCAAGGCATTAAAAGGGGTGGGTGCAGGGCTGAGGATGTAATTCTGGTATGCATGGGAGCTGGGTTCCAGCTACAATCCCAGCACATGGGGTGGAGGTAGGATTCTTCCTTCCTTCCTTCCTTCCTTCCTTCCTTCCTTCCTTCCTTCCTTCCTTCCTTTGTATTTTTGAGACATGCATTTTGTATTTTGAGACACACTGTAGCCAAGTATCTTAGGCTATCCTGGAACTCATAGTCTCAGCTGGCCTTGAATTTGAGACAATCTTCTTGTCTCAGCATCTTGAGTGTTGGGGTTACAAGTGTGAGCCATCCCATTTAGTGATGGGGTCTACCCATGTGTGGTGTTGGGAAGATAACCACTGGAATATGGGAAAGATGCCCTGGTAAGAACTACCCAAACTGTCCAATTGTACATCAATTCATTTATTTTTAGCTTGAAGAAGGGGAGGTATAGACTTGTATGGCCTGGAATGTCCACTCATTCAGTAAATACTTTTTGAGCACCGTGGCTAGATGCTGTCCAAGCTCCAGTGTTTTCAAAACTCTCTTCTGGTGACCAAATGATATAATGCATGTAAAAATCCAGAATGTTTTGAACTCTGAAAAAGGGGTGGTGTTGGAGGGAAATAACACATGGAGTGGAGATGATGAGGCTTCCAAGTCCACCAGGTGATAACTCACTGGCTGGGACGGTTGGGAGTCCTGGGTAGAATGCCTGGGCATTAAACCCCTTTAAGGAGCCTCTCAGGTGTTCTCACATCAGGCTGGATGCAGTGACTACAGAACAGGAGGTCTTCATCTTACAGGGGCATCACCACAGAAGGAGCAGCATGGAGGGAGGCATAAAGGGCTGGAGGGTAACTTTGACCCTGCATTTTCCTCTGGACTGCTGGTATCATGGTCCTGTATGCTATCACTCTGGTTTAGGCAGTGCTGGGGATTGAACCCCCAATGAACCTCTAGTATGCTAGGCTGGCACTACTCAATGTGCTACATCCCCAGAAATAATATTTTGTTCTTTCTCTGCATTCAGAGTTAACTATGCATTAAAAAAAAATAATTTGGACTAATGAATGGCGCAATGGGTAAGCGATTGCTGCAAAAACTCGATGACCTGAGTTTGATCCCTGGGACCCACAAGGTAGAAAAAGAGAACTGACTGCTTCAGGTTGTCCTTTGACCTCCAGGCAAACACACACAAAATATAAGAGGGGGTTAAATTTTAAAAGGGGGAAAAGACACTTTCCTTGGGGAAGCAGAATTTTCTCATTTTTGCAAAGTGTCAAAGGGACTGGAAGATGTTGCAGAGTTCCTAGGCCCTTAAAAGAGCACTGGTCTTGGAGTCACTGGGATTAATCTCCCATGTTGGGCACATCAGGGTCCCTTGTGAGCCCCTTGTTACTTCCTGGCAATGTGGATAAGGCATTGGAGGAGTCCGAGCCACTTTCCACAGCCCATGATCTCTTTGGAAGCATGCTGGAGAGTTAGGTGGATGGGTCGTTTTTGGGTGGAAGGAAAGCAAGGTTTGATTGCAACACTGAGTAGTTATTTTCCTGTGTGGAGGGAATTATTCAAAATGTTTTGAGCAGTAATGTCAGTGCTGAAGTACAGCTAAGTCTCCAGCCTCCTAGACCAAAACGGGCAGCCCCCACCAGGGTTGCATGAGGCTAATGCACATAGCCTATCTCAGAGTGCCATCTGAGCTGTGAAGTTAGGAAATGCAACCCCAGTGACTCAGCTAAGCATGCATCTGAAGGTGTTGGTTCCTCCTCCATCCTTCCTTTCATCATCACTCCCCGCCACTCCCCAAGGTCTCACTATGAAGCCCTGACTGGCCTGGAACTCATTATGTAGCTCAGGCTGGCCTCAAACTCAGAAATCTGACTGCCTCTGCATTCCAAGTGCTGGTATCAAAGTCGTGTACCACCTCTGGGTGTGTTCTCTAATTTTTTTGGTTTTGTTTTACACTTTGGCTTTTGAGCCAGGGTTTCTCTGGATAACAGTCCCAACTGTCCTGGAATTCAGTTTGTAGACTAGGCTGGCCTCAAACTCGCAGAGCTCCATCTGACTGCTTCCTGAGTGCTGGGATTAAAGGCATGCACCACCATGCCCAGAACTTGTTCTCCAATTCTTAAATGGTTTCCTTATTTACTTTACTATCTCTCTGTGTAGACATTGTAACAATCCTTATTTTCTGCTGAATTGTTCTATAGCTGACTGCAGATGTCATAGCACGTTAGCCCCCAGGTGTTTCAGTATGTGTGGACATTCCCTTGTGTAACCCTCACATAAAGTTACACTCAGTAAGCCTCACATGGATCTATTTCTCAATTTATCATCCATTCATAAGTTTCTTGATTACCCCTATAGTTTCCTTAACAGAGCTGAACTTTTCTTCCAGTTAGGCTTCAACCATCTTTTCCCCTGGGAATTTGGCTTCTTCTCTATTAATGCAATCTATTTTGTTTTGTTTTTAATGCTGTTTGACACAGTCTTACCCTTGTTGCCTAGGCTGCCCTGAAACTATCTATGTAAGACTGGCCTCTCAACTAATAGTGATCCTACTGTCTCAGCCTCTCAGATTCTGTGATTACAGTTGTGAGCTCCTATTGATTCAATCTCAGGCTCACTACATAACTCAGGTTGGCCTGGAAAGTCCCAGTTCAGGCTGGCCTCAAACTCACAATTCTTCTGCCTTTGCCTCCCAAAGTATATACAATCACACGCAGCAGCTGTAATCTTTTTCATTTTAAAAAATTAAGTGCGTGTGTGTCAGGTGTGGAAGTCAGAGGACATGCCTTGGGACAAAGGGACAAAGTATTCTTAGGGGTATATCTCAGGTTCTCAGGCTGGCACGGGCATCTATCCTTTTGAAGGGTATGGAGCAAGTTGTTTTGTAGCCATGTCCCTCAGTCTGGTGTGTCTGATGATGTCCCTCATGCTCACATCAGGTGATGGATGCATTTGGGAAGAGAACACTCACAGAAGTAATGCCGGGTGCATGGTAGCTCATCCTTCAGAAGGCACCTAAGTGTGCTACCTCCACTTATGTAGGCGCTTGCCAGACTTCTCCCTTGTAATTGTGCCATACTTCCCTCCAGAATTAACAAGTAAATCTGAGTTTTCAAGCCAGAAGTCCAAGTTTGGGCAAGCTTTTTTCACAAGTGTGCTTTAAAGGCTGGTGGCGTGCTTGCCCTTGGCATGGTCTCTGGTTGGGGATTTTGAAAATGGGGCTCTGGCCTAGGGCTTTGCAGCACACAGCAGCTTTCTGTCTTTCCTCATGAGGACAAAGAATTCTGTGCATGAATGCTTGCCACAGAGCTGGAATACCATGTGCTGTTTACCAGCCTCTGAATGGCCCTGTGGCGTCAGCGGGCTTCAAGGGCCTCCTAGGGCTGAATGCTCCCTGCAGAGTAGCAGCCTTGTGCCACAGCAAATGTGTGGGGGAATGTTCTGCTGAGGAGGGTGGTTTCACTTCCCCATAAGTGCCTCTGTTTTTTTCCACAACAAGTTTGAGGTCTGGCGGGCACAGAAAGACTTCCCAGTAGGACCGCTGGTTGTTGGAAAGGGTTACAGATGAAGAGCTGAAGAGCCCTCCTTTCTCTCTCTCTCTGTCTCTGGACAGACAGATCCTTCTAGTGCACAATGTGCATCTCAGGATGTCTCACCCTGTGGTCTCGCCTCTGCCCAGGAGAGCAGGCACTGCCCACTCCATCTCACTGTCTAGAGAGGTGAGGCTTTCAATTGTAACACAGCAGAGTGGTCTCAACTAAGAGACTGGAAGGAGTGATCCTGCCTAGGGAAATCAAAGCTTTTAGATTTTAGAAGCAAAATTGTTTTCCTTTCCTATGATAGTTCCCTAAAGGAAGGGGAGATTTATTTGTGGGGAGGGGGTCATGAAGAAACAGGAAATGTCTCTTGAAGTCTGTGGGATCTTAACCATTTTCTTATCTCTGAAAGTATTAAGGGGATAATAATAAAAACTAGAGCCAAGAATGGTAATGCATGCCTTTAATCCCAGCACCAGGAAGGCAGAAACAGGTTGAGCTCTGTGAGTTCAAGGCCAGTTTGGTCTACATGGTGAGCTCCAGGCAAGCCAAGGCTACATGATGAGACCTTGTCTCAAAACAAAATAAATAACAGAATAACAAAAACCGAGTAACTGGGACAGGAAAGATGGCTCTTGTAGAGGCACCCACACAACCATCTATGACCATCTGTAATTCCAGTTCCTGGGGATCTGACACCATCTTCAGACCTCCAGGGACTCACGTATGCACACGATACGCTTACACTCATGAAGGTTCACACACATACACAAAGATCAAAAAGCTAAATCCTGGGGCTAGAGAGATGGCTCAGGGGTTAAGAGCACTTGCTACTCTTCTGGAGGATCTGGGATCACACAAACCAGCTCACAAGATCCAAAATTCTAGTTCCAGAGGAGCTGAAACAGTTTCTGACCTCTTGGAGCACTGGACACACATGTGGTATACATACATATATTCAACCAACACATGCACATTAAAGAAAAATTTAAAAATAATTACAAAATAGTTATCAAGGGCTAGAGAGATGGTTCAGAGGTTAAGAGCATTGGTTGCTCTTCCAAGGGCCCAAGTTCAATTCCCAGCAACCACATGGTGGCTCACAATAATGAGATGCATACATGCAGGCAGAAAACTGTGTATATAATAAATGAATACATTTTTTTTTTAAATAGCTATCAAATGGCAGGCAGTGG